TTTTGGTTGTTTGACAACTGCAATAATAATGTGAAATAAAATAAAAATTCTGGTGACCCGAAAACTGGTTCTCTTTTTTTCGCAGTTGAACTAAATTCATTTTTCATATACAAAAAAATTTTATATATTTTTTATGTGCAACAACTATTGCTATACAGCTGCAAAAAAATATTAATGTAACTTGAAGCTCGCAAAGAATTTTTATGCGACATAGTAAGAATTGTCGTGTTTTTTAAAATATGACCTGTATGTGTGTACGGAAAAATGAAGAAAATCTTTTTATATTTCAGCATGTTCAGCGGGTTTATTGGAGTAATTGTGATCGTAAGCGGTAGATTGAAAGGAAGTTGGTTTGAATTATGAGAAGATTTGGTTTCTTATGTTTCTTGGGAATTTGGAGGTGTACAGTGGCTTAAATAAGCATTTACAATAGTTTCACGTCATTGTTTTACGATGACATGCCTGTCTGTAGCCTACAAAGGAAGGCTGTGATCTTCATTTTCACTACACATAGTTCGAAAAATGACAAGTTAATAAATTTCCCATACCGAGTCTTGAACCCATGATCACTGTGTCGGTTTTGTAATAATTAGGTACCGAAGTGCTAAACCATTCTGCCACCGAGCCACTTCAGCTTACTAGTCAACCCAAACATAGTCTTATATATATTTGGTTAAATCAGAGATTTTGCAACTCGAATTAAAAAATAAAAAGCGACTTTCAGAAAAAATTGTAAAAAAATCGCTTGACAAAGGTTCGAATCTTAGACTTTAATAACAATATTAAATAGATATAAATTTTCAAAATTATTTTTTTCAATAGTTTTTATAAGTATTGCACTATCAAATCCTCAACCTCACACTTAATCACACAATAAAATTATTTTCTTTTTGCGAATGAAAGGCACTATCACAAAAAAAAAAACAATTTATATTCAAAAAATAGAGCGTATACATACAAAAAACACTCTCTGTTCCTACAATATGGGTACAAGGTTAAGGTCAATATGTATGTATATAAATATGAGGTTCCCCATTGTTTCTATTATGACAATTTTTTTTTAGGTCGTTAAACTCTTCCATGCTTTTCAATATTTTATCGTCTACTATAAAATGTGTGCCTGTCTGAATTAATAGGAAGAAGCAATTAGCACAATTTTGTGAAAATTGAAAAGAATTATTTTTGCAGCATAACATGCTAAACCTTTTAAAAAATTTATTTTATATCGTCTTCCGCAATTCCTTTTCATTTTGTGTGTGAAAAATTCAAAGAAAAAAAAAACAAGAAGCGGTAATAAAATTTTAAAGCTAAACAACTGAATAACATTTTTTTGCTATAAAAAAGAATACGAATTAGAATTTTCACAATGCAATAAATGGAATAAAATAAATTAGCAAACTTGCAAATTCCTTTAGATTCTTCGAATTTGTGTGCAAACAGTTAGAAGACAATACGGAATTTTTGTTCGGTATGTTGAAGAAATTCTTTAACTGCTGCGGGTAGAACTAGGAATTTGCATTAAAAAGGATAGTTTATTATGCATTTGTATTCAAGACTGAAGTTGTGTAAAATATTGAATTATTTTTTTGGTAATGAAATTTTAACTTTCGAAATTAAAATTTCATTTCCAAAATTTATTTTTCCTTTCGAAATTGAAATTTAACTTTCGAAATTAAAATTTAAAATTTCGAAATTGAAATTCATATTGACACAATTTTTAATTTTTTAACTTTCGAAATTGAAATTTTTAACTTTCGAAATTATAATTTCACTTTCGAAATTATAATTTCACTTTCGAAATTGAAATTTCACTTTCGAAATTGAAATTTCACTTTCGAAACTGAAATTTCACTTTCGAAATTGAAATTTCACTTTCGAAACTGAAATTTATCTTTCGAAATTGAAATTTCACTTACAAAATTGAAGTTCACTTTTGAAATTGAAATCTTTAACTTTTAACATTACAATCTTACTTTCAAAATTTAAAGTTCACTTTCGAAATTGAAATTTCACAATTCATTTTAGAATATTCCACAATTCTTTTCTTTTTCCAATTCTATTGAAATAACCCCAAATTTTCTCAATCATCTCCTTTAAAGAAATTAAAAACCCATCAAAATTGAGTCCACCGACACAAAAAGAATCCCATAAAGTCATAACAATTATTCTTCATTTAGGATTATTTAAACAATAGTACAATAATAAACATGCAAATATTTGACAAAATCATTGAAATTATTTAGAAAAACAATTAAGATGATTTAATGCCCCTCCAAATTGACAATATAGACAATTCTTTAAATTCTATGACAAATTGCTATCCAATGAACTTCAAAAACATTCCAGAATAGAGACTTCAAGCTATTGTCTAATTGTTTTGAGGCCACACAAAATTCTGTTCTATCTTAATAGTGTTGACAACAATTAACTTAATTGATAAAATTTACATGAGGGCAGGATCAATATTGTAATTATTAAAGATCAAAGTTTGAGTTAATATGGGAGTTGTGTGGTGTAATAATAATTAAATTGTGGTCGGATGTGATGGGAATTTATAAAGAATACGATGATGGAATTTAAATGAGGATTTACGATTTGTATGTTGATTATAAATTTTTACATGCTATGATTTTGGAATGAAGATTGATGGAATTTGTGGACAACTACGCAGTTCTAGATTGAGAAGTCTTGAGTTCCTAGGAAATGCTTTAGTTTTGTCATTTAAGTAGTTTTTGAGGTGAATTTACTTATTTTTTTACTGTGTATATTGGTTCGAAAGTTTCTGCTTCAATTTTACTAAACTCACCCTTGATCCAAAAGTTTCTGCTTCAATTTACTAAACTCACCTTTGATGCAAAAGTCTCTGCTTCAATTTTACTAAACTCACTTTTGATGCAAAAGTTTCTGCTTCAATTTTACTAAACTCACCCTTGATCCAAAAGTTTCTGCTTATATTTACTAAACTCACCATATTTACCAAAGTTTCTGCTTCAATTTTTTCACTGAACTCACTTTTAATGCAAAAATATGTTTGATTGTTTTTGTTTTATTGAACTCACTCTTGATGCAAAAAGTTTCAGCATCTTTATTCTGATTTCACTCGTGATGCAAAAGATTCTGCATCTTTTTTCTTATTTCACTCGTGATGCAAAAGTTTCTGCATCTTTTTTTTTAAATTCACTCTTGATGCAAACATTCTACAACATTTTTTTCACTGAAGTCACTTTTGAATAAAAATTTCAACGCTTACTGAGAATTTCTCATCGAAACAATGAAAAGAGAAATTTTTCAATCCAGAAGCTCATTATATTCTTAACAATCTTCAATTTAAATCCAATTCCCACTCCATAAGAATCTTCCTCAAGAATATTGCTAACCTTAAAACAAACTATCCAGCTTCTAATGCGATATCATCAACAACTTATCGCCTTCGACATTAAAAATAATGGAAAAATTTTAATGATGTTCTATTCCACACACATTTCCAGCATAGAAATAAAAGAGTTCAATTTCGATTAATTGAATTGATTTGAGAAAACAATAAACCAACGCATTTAATCTAATTTTCAATGCAGGCTATCAAGATGTAATAAAATCTCAATTTATACTAAATTCCAGAATGCATTTTTGTGAGGTAAAATGGGAAAAAAAATTCAATTTATTAAAATAATGAAGTTCAATTATGTCGATAAGCACATAAGCACCAAGTATGTAAATAGCCACCACATTACCTCAACAATCTCTTTATCGAGCAACATAAAATTCCATTAACATTCCAAACATTTACAGCACATTTGTTCAAGTTTCGATTAACATAATTGAAATTTATTTTATATTTATCTAGCATTTATTTTAATCGATACACATTTCAGAAGTTAAAGATTGAAAAAATGCGATTCTTTTAATACGTCGAGTTGAAATTTTATTTTTTAATAAGCCGTTCAAGATTTTTCATCGTTTATTATTCTGTTAATATTGCTAGTGATTCTCATGGGAAATGCCAGTAATGCAAGGCTGGTGCAGTGAATGTGTCATGGGAATCGCTACTGACGTAGATTTTAACTTAATGATTTTGACTAGGTTTTTGAGGTTGTTAAAGTTTTTGAGGTTAATAATGTGATGGAACTAGTTGAATCTTGATTGAGATAGTTGTGCTAGCTCAGTGGTGAAAAGTGCTAGTCAGAAGTCGGATGGAAGTGGTCTTTAACCTTAAAAGGACCAAATAATTGATAGGAAAAGTTATAATACTAAATTATGGACCGACCTAGCTACATTAAATGCTGCGCCTCAAGATCATTTTTGTAATTTTTCGGTCAAAGCTCTGAAGCAACTTATCATGATCCTATCATGTTGGCCATCTCCAAATAAATTCCAAAATATCCTCAAATTTACAGCACATTCCAAAAAAATTTACAACATAGCCAAAAATTTAAATCACAAAAAAATTATCAAAAATATCTTCATTATCGCAGTAAACTTATAAAAATTATTAACCTTATTAAATTTATGAAGATAATTTACTTTAAGCACAAGAAACATGAGAACTTTTGATTAAAATCAGCACATAAAGTGAAAAGGAAGTGAATTAAGTCCATCGCAAAATAATAAAGTCAATTAGCATCAAAAATCAAACAAGACATCCATAAAAATAAATTTAAAATGTTTCAATAATCAACCGTCAATTTCTTTCTGTTATGCTGTTTGAAGCTCAATGTTATTTGATATACACACACGAAATTATGATGACAGGCAGGATTTTATCATTATAAACATTTCAAAATTCACAGGAAAGAGAATATTTTTGCAGTGCATTGAAGTATATTTGTCTGGCATCAGCATTAATTCAACTGAAAAATGATCGCAAATGTGTGTTCAAAACCTGCAAAAATATTCATTTGACGACCTTCCTTCATGCTCTAAATAATGACATTAACTTCGTTAATCTAATTAAGATCTTGACTTACAATTTTTAATAATATTTATAAATCTTTTAATTACAGAGCATCCCGAAGCCTTAAAAACATCACAAGATGAAGATAGTCTTAAGCTTTTGGCATTACTTAATTCCTCGATGCCAGCAATACTCCAAAAACTGCCAGATATGAAAGAAGTTACAGAGTTTTGGATTGTATATCCAAATAAAATTGAAGTGCCATTGCATAAAGACGATTTACTGTACGAGTCCAATCGAAATACTTCCAGTGCATTAATTTTAGGTAAGGTCCATGTGTCTTGATCCTCCCATTTTTAACGATTCATTTTTAAGTGATTAATTATTATGTTTTGGGATGTGTGCAAGGAGGATTGAAGAAGGGAAAGGAATATTAATTGATGATGTTAAGGAATGCCGATCAAATTAATAAGTTTTTGGATGTTCTGCTTCGTATTGAAGCTAATTTTTGAACGAGAATGGGGAGTAGAGATTCAAGTTTGGCTGATTTTGCAACTCAACTCAAATTTGAATCCTGGCTTTATTTTCGAAATTCAAAGCTAGGTTTGGTTCTGACTATATCTTCGAAATTCAAAGCTAGGTTAGGCTGTGATTATATTTTCGAAATTCGAAGCTAGTTTAGGTTCTGACTTTATTTTCGAAATTCGAAGCTAGGTTAAGTTTTGACTATATTTTCGAAATTCAAAGCTAGGTTAAGTTTTGACTATATTTTCGAAATTCAAAGATAGGTTAGGCTGTGATTATATTTTCGAAATTCGAAGCTAGGTTAGGTTCTGACTTTATTTTCGAAATTCAAAGCTAGATTAGGCTCTGATTATATTTTCGAAATTCGAAGCTAGGGAAGGTTCTGACTTTATTTTCGAAATTCAAAGCTAGGTTAAGTTTTGACTATATTTTCAAAATTCAAAGCTAGGTTAGGTTTTGACTATATTTTCGAAATTTGAAGCTAGGTTTGGTTCTGATTATATTTTCGAAAATCGAAGCTAGGTTAGGTTCTGACTTTATTTTCGAAATTCAAAGATAGGTTAAGTTCTGATTATATTTTCGAAATTAAGTCAACCTTCATCGCACACATCACCATAATATACCCAAAAAGCTGCGCCATATCCTACATATTCTTAAACATTAAATAACTCTCGTTCCTTCTTAAACTCTTTTGCTTACAGATAATAAATATCCTCACCACAAAACTGGTCATTATCGTAATAAATCAAAGAAAATTTGGGATCCACATCCACGGTACGAAATTAATGCTAATGGACACAGCTTTGTGCTAAATTTACGTCCCGAGTCCGATTACGTTGCGCCAAATCTCGAGGTGAGTGCATCTCATATTTACAAATGACTTCGGTCATGTCTGTACGTCAAAGAAGATATTTACAAGATTTTTGCATTTGAAATATGATATATTAAGTCATTTGTAAGTCTCTATGAGAATACATTCAAGCATACGGTCTACATTGTATATCAAAAATTATTAATCATAAATATCTCATAGACTCAAATGCGTTTGTAATAGGAATCATTTAGAACAATTTTTTTATTTTATTTTATGACTTCAGCCTCGAAACTTTAGCAGTCAGTCGTATGGAAAAAAGCGAAAACATCAATTAGTTCACTAGACTGAGTCGTAAGCTCTCGAAAAAAACTTGAATGTGATCCAATTTTTTCTGCACATTTTCCTTGTTTTGTGAATTTTCACAATTTGTTCGTGCCTTCATATTTATATGCATTAAGCATCGTCATCAACGTCATTAAATTCATAAATGTAAAGGAAGAAATATTAATGAAGTGTCTACAAAAATATAAAAGTTTTATTAATTCAAACACGAATTATGCATTAAAAAAATTGTTTATAGAGATGCAAATTGTGGTTTGGTGAAGCTGTGTGTGGGATGTAAGGATGGGACGAACATGTGCAGTTTGGCTGGGAAATTGTGGATTGTTATGAGTAATATGGAAATTGAATGTACGGATTATGTGAAAGTTTAAACCCAAATTAACTCATATTAAGCTTCTGTAGGTCAAATTGGACCTATTTGAATGCAATTGGACGATTTTAACTTGAATTGAAACTCTTTGGCTTAAATTGGAGCTCTTCTAACCCAATTAGGACCCCCTTAGCTCGAACTCAAACTCAACTCGATTTAATCCTGCTCAGTAATCCCTGCCTCACCCCCCCCCCCCTCCCCTCCCCTCCTTCCATGCTCTAAAAAGCTCTTCAAGCAGATCAAATTCTACCGCCCAGCAAACAGCTCTTGAGCTAGTATTGAAGCTTCTAAGCTAATCCCAGCCAATCCAACCCATAAAATACCAATTCAACTTACAAATTCACAACAAAAGCGCTCCGCACCCAGATTCACCTGCATAACCCATAATTCACTCATAATTTTTTTTTTGCAACTTCAAACTGCACATCATTAATAATTTCCGCTAATATTTTTCATAAAATCTATGAAGCTTTGCTCAACATTTACCTGAAAAAATAAAATTTATTGCTTTTTTCAATTATACATGCATTACTTCAATAGTCGATAGTAATTATGAGTGGGTCACTGCAGTGTAAAATAAAAATGAATGAATAAATGCGATTGCAACCTACAGCGGCATTAGTTATTTGATAAATTACAAAAAGGAAAGATTATAAAATAAAATTAATTAATAATCACTGCGCGTATTTCTCTCATAATTGCAATCAGAATCACGTGTTATGTTCGAGAATCTTGTTAACCTTTACAACTTGGACGAAGTCTTTGTACCGTCAAGTGGGCAGAACACACAATTTTTCTTGGAGATTTCTTAAGATTAAATGCTTTATGGTGTGAAGATGTCGAAAATAAAAAATCTGATTTTGCAATAATTTTTTTTTTTTTTGGAGATTGAATGACTTTTTATGGCAGTATGGGAGCTTATTGTTTTATTTTGCCGAATGTAGGAAATGCGGGTTTTGGTCATAAAAAGCGCATTACTTTTTGGATAAATTTCGTCAGAATCAATTGGAATCAAGCTTCGAAAATGAAGTAAAATTTGAAAATAACGGTCAAAAAATAATATTTTTTAACCGTTAAAATTTACAGTTTTTAATTTTGCATTTTAAAAAGCTATAAACTCAAAAAATCTCAAATAAAAAGGCATAAAATTGACATCTACAACTAAGTCGAAGTCTACCAATTCACAAAATCCAATAAAGTGCTAAAAAACTATCATATCAGCCGCAAAAATCTTGTTAAATATCGCAAATAAAATCTGAATGAAATCTTTGCAAAAGTTTACTGCCTTACTGCTGCATTTAAATAAGCTTACTAAGCCGTTTTATAGCTCAAAATGGGTTTCCGGATTTTATCAAGATTTTAACTGGAAATTCAATTTACAGCCCGTGTCAGCAGCGACCATAAAAGTTTTAATGCATGGGCTGTAAATTGACAAGGAATTAATTAAGCAATTAATATTCAATTTATAATCATTTTTTACATGACAGGTCAGCCATGTAACACACAACAGTAATTTGAGGAGGAAAGATGAGCAGCAAGAGCATATTGAGCAGAAAGAATGTCAATATAATGGCACAATAGAAGGCGATGACAAGGCGCGTGTTGCAGTATCGCTATGTGATGGAATGGTATGTAAATTTTTTTTGTCTTAATTAAATTAATTACAAATTTATGCACGTGTGTATGGGCGACATCTGAAAAGAAGAATAAGAATTGATGAGAAATAAATTATTGACCTTGACATAAAATAAGCCAGCAAAAACCGCGCGCGATTATTTAATAAGACATAAAATAAAAAAAAAGTTGGTTTATTCTCGTTTCTATTAATAAAACCATCTTTGGGGCCAGATCTCGTGTATGTGTGTATTTTGGTCCGTGATGCGAGCAGAAAGTTCATTAGATTCACGAAATGTTTACACAAAAAAGAAGAAAATCGGCATAAAAAAATATAATTTTTAAGGGAAGTATTGCACATCACATACTGACCGCTAACTACGTGATGTGATTGCTCTCGTTATAAGATATGCTTAGATTAGACATTTCTCATCTTACTCATTGTAATTCGTAAAGATTTTCTCTTTATAAAATTTGAAACTCAACGCTTATGGCGCCATTGTGAACAGAGAAATATGAAGAAAAGAAAAATTACAGAATTTTTGTTTAGATTTGAAGCTTTTTTTGGATGGGAGATGATGCCTATGTCCATAGCTTGTCTGTTTGTCTGTTTATCTTCCCTAATGCTTGATTCCTTCTTTGTTAAGATTGTTTTGAACTGAAAACTAAGTCATTGGCCAACGACTTACTATCTATGCTCAAACTAGCTTCATGACTAGCTTCGAACCTATTGAACTTGATTAATACTTAACAAATGCGCTGTTGCCAACGACTAGACTGACCAAGATCCAACTCTTAGATTATTTTCTTCTTTCCCCATTGTTTTTGTTTGTTTCGAAAAAAATCTCGTCTTACAAACAAACTTTTGCATTAGAATTGGCCACGAAGAAATTTGAGAATTGGAAATCTTGATCAACTGACCTAAAAACAAGCGTGGAATGTAAAGAAAAAAATATATTAGGCTTCAATGAAGAGAAAATGATCTTCATGCAATTGAAACTTAAACAAATGGCTTTGTTAGTGATAATAACATTGCCTCTTGCCTAACAGAATATTAGTTCCACTCGAAAATGAGAATTTTTCAACAAGACCATAATTCACAATCACGTTTTTCGTAAGTTTTTGCAGATCTTTTGATGTTTTCTTTTCTTTTTTCGAAAGAAATTTTTCTTGGCTTTTATTTTGTCTTAATGACTTTTTGAAGGTTTGTTGATTATTCTCAAGATTTATTGTGGCCTGTGATGAACTTGCTGCATTTAATCCTTGCCAATTTTTTAAATGTTAAGCAGTTCATAAATCATGAAAGTTGAGAGAAAAATTAAGAAAAATTTTGAAAATACTTTTCGAGATGAGGGGAATTTTTTGGAGGTTATGGACAATTTTGCTGGATTAGGGATAAAAGTTTAGAATTTAAAGATTGTCTACTTTAGCATTAAGCGTGGGCAGAGGGTCGGTAAAGTGAGGAGGGATCCATTCTATCGATATTGGTAGAGACAAAACTAAATGCTGTCATCTAAAGACAGATCCTGACAATTAGATACCACAAAGTCTTTTATATAATGTAAATTCTTGATCCAAGACGCTTGACTTAGAAGTATATCCTTTAAAAAAAAGTATCTAGGCATCTGGGGGATATCTAAGAAGCAGGTGTCCTAGGACTGAATAGAGAAGAGCAGTAACATTCATTATGCACATTACTTATTACTCAAACACTTTCAATGTTTTTAAGCTTCACATATCTCCCAACTAGTTCAACAGCCCTAACCCAAAAGTTCCCAAAACTTCTAAGAACTCCTCATCTTCACTTTCATATGTTTCTTCCAGTTTCTTCATAATTTTTTTGTGAGCAGTAATTAAAATTCCACCTCGAATTGAAATTGAAAATGAAAGCACCATGAAATCATTTAGAAAGAGGCGAAAGATACAAAGAACAAGTGTTGAGAGAGTTATGCATGCATAAGTATACAAATAGTTTTTTTTTGCTTTCCATGAAAATAATTTTTCCACATGTTGAAAAATTTTCTTTTTTCTGCTAATTTATGAACTCTAAAGACTCGTTGTTATTCCTGCCAATGACTTTTTAAACTTTGCATATGCGTAGCATTTTTGTGGCACTAGAGCAGTAGCGCATCTGCATCGAAAGGAAGTTTTAATAAATTTTCCGTTCAAATGAAGACAAACATAAATTTTCTCTCGCAAAATAAGGCGAAACGCGAAATAGTTGAGTGACTAATACAGAAAAATTGCAATAATTTATTCGCAAACCCAAGCGAGATAGAAAAAAAAACATCTTTTTATTCGGACAAGCAAGTATGTATGCCTCCCAAAAGTATTTTTACACACGTTAAAGAAGTGAAAAACGCCGGCTTGGATTTTTTTTTCTTTTGAGACAAAATAAGATCGCTTTTCCGCAAATGAATGAAAAGTGAGATGTGGAAAAGTTGGTGTGTGTGTGAGGCTGGAGCGCATTTTTTTATGGGTGGTCTGTGGATTATTTTCATGTCTTAGTTGCATTTTTAAGGTAATTTCTTTAGATGCTAGACTTTGATTTAATTATTATGTAAGCATGACAAGCTTTATAAAGGTGAATTTGTCACTACGACTGTAAAGCCTCAGTGGTTGAGTGAACTAGCATTTGCATTAAATCAGCCACTTTCACTTGTAGGATCGATTCTCATCATAAATAAACTCTTAATTTTCATTTAAAAATAAACTTACACTCTCCCAACCTCCCTCACCCTCCTTCATTAGACATCCAACTAAAATCTAGAATCAACAGCACTTCCAATCTAATCATTCAGTCTAGACCACAGCACGTGATGACCATCTGATCGCAGTAAAAAGTGCCATCAACTTTCACAGCTCAACCTCAAAAAATTTGTTAAAAGGAAAAAAAAAGTTTCCGTGAGTTACGAAGTGAGAAGAATAAAACAAAAAAAGATCTTTTTTTCTTCTCATTTTCGCACAGTATTGAAAACAGACAGTCGTTCTATATTTTCGCTTGTTTCCAATACCTTATACTAGAGAAGAAATGCGAGAAGTGAACATAAATTAAAGGCGATTATAAATAACAAATCGGTGCTAGATTTAGATAGTAAAATGAAGTTAACGATATTCGCAATGATGATGATTATGAGATGATTCATAAGGTATATATTGCGAGACATTAATCTAGATCTGAAAGGAATTGGGGCTTTGAATTGGTTCATTAAAAACTTTATCATTCACATAAAGTTGTCAGTAATTTTAATGATCGCATAACTTTATATGAGCGATTTAAGTCATAAAATGCAAGCTTATTTATAACATCCAGTTTCTAATGCAGAATTCGACGGTCATCTGCAATACATTTAAGATTGTTGAATTATTATGGACGAAATTGATTGATTTATAGTTGAGGTTATTCCATAATATCTGCTGCTGACATCAGTTTCTTTTTCTGGGGATCTTAAAAGTCGTAATGCGAATAAAGTTTCATCCACTTGGGGTCAATTAAAAATGATGTCCATTAAAATATGTTAGGGTGCTTGTTCTTAAGTACTTGTAGCTATAGATTTGAATCCCATGAAGACCTATTAAGTTGAGTTTATATGAAAAAATTCTCTCATTGACTTCCTTTCCTCCCTCATTCTATATTATCCACCATCAGTGATCGACCCCCTTCCAAAAAGACCTCTTTTATTTATTTTGGTTCTTCTCTTTCCTCCTCCATCCTCGAAACAAATAAATGAAAAACTAATACAGATTTTTCTCATTCTCACTTCGCGGTCAGCTTGTTTCTGTTGCTGCTTAATAAATTATTAATATCGACTGATGTTTTAGAAAAAGAAGAAAATTGAAAGGCTAATCTTCATTTGATGATTACAGTTCAAGGCTGCACGCTTTTCATAAACTCATTTCTCGCGCCTGATCTCGCTTCAGCTTTTTTTTTGTGTGTATTTTTCAAGAGCACTTTCTGTTTGAGAAAATATGATTTAAAATTAAAAGTTGTCTTGTTGATTTGATGTGCTATGAGTCAGTTAATTTTTAGTGTTGATGAAACTTTTCGTCTGTAAATCTTAAGTGAATGTGTTTTTTGATCTAGATTTTTGTAAATATGATCCTTGCTTTGGCTGATGAGGATTTATGAGTGATTAATCATAAAAATTAGGTTAAAGAGATTGAAACAATTTAGAAATGGAGTTGATTTGCCACCATTTTGAAAATTTAATGTTGTCAAAATAAACTTTATTAAGCTTTATTTTTCTACAAATATGGATGAAACTGAATCTTGCCAACTTTTTCAATAACTTACAATCATAATACCTAAAAAAAGTTGTCGAAAACCTAGAAAATTTTCCAAATTACTTTTCGAAGTGTAAAGATTTGGCGCCATTTTGAATTTTTTAAAAACAATAATCCCTACAAAGATGACTAATTTTCTTTAAATCAACTTACATCTAAACATCCTAAACTAAACATCATTTAAAGCTATAAACCACTAGACACATGTAGAGTTTTCCTGCTTTATTTGCTTACTCTCGTGCGCTAATACAAACACATATCGTTTTCTAAGAGAAAATCAAGTTATGGGTAATTAACAGTTCTCCTTATTATTGTTGTTATTATGAATGTACTTAAGACTAATAATAGCGAAATGAAATATTGCCAAATGTGCGAGGCTTGAGATTTTCGCGTATAAGATTTCAATCAAATGATTTTGTTCAAAGCATTCTGCTTGCTTACACGAATAAATCCTCGAAAAATGAGAGAAAAAATCTGTGCTAAATGTCTGCTACAATGTATTTCAGAGGCAATAGGAAATAAAATCGAAATTCTTTTTTTAATCTCGTCTATTTGTCTAATGCATTGAAAGGAGCGAGAAGAAAATAAAGATTTATAATTCAACATTTTTTCGGCTGTGCCGCGCACGATATGTGTCATGTGTGGTGCTGTTTAAAAGCAGCAGAGTTAAGCGCAAAAGCTAAGGCCCCCCATTTATGTGTTATGTTGATTGAAAGGTAGTCATAAAGTC